TGGGCATAATGAACAAAATAACTATCTGTGTGGTTTGATCTCTGTAATACCTGTGCAAAGGCGCAGATCTAGAAAACCAGAAACTGAAGCTCTATATCATGATAGTACTTATGCATACAAGGTAAAAGTAAAAAGAGATACTGTTGTGAAGGAAATCCCTGTGTGTCATAAAGCTTTCTTAAGCATTCACGGAATCTCCAAAGGTAAATTAGAGCATCTACAAAAATCATTGAAACACATGGGTTTAGCACCAAATGACAAACGCGGTAAACATGCTAAATTTATCAAGAAGTTACCTGACGATACCTATGCTAAAATAAAAGATCACATAAACTCATTTAAAGGAAGGTTGTCACATTATAGCATTAAAGACACCAAAAAGATATACCTACCGGAGAGTCTTAAGATTAAGAAAATGTACATAATGTTTCAAGAGTTGTTTCCCAATGTAAAAGCTTCTTATGAAACGTACCGAACGATTTTTAATAGTAAATTTAATATAAGTTTTGGACTTCCACGTAGTGATACTTGCAGCACATGTAATAGGTTTACAGCGGAAATAAATAGATTAAAAAAGGAAGGAAACTTAGAAAATGAAATAAGCGATTGACAGTGGAAAACGAAGTACATAAGAAGAAGGCTCAAAGATTTTATGATGAAAAAAGAAAGGCAAAGAATAAAGGGAGAACTACTAATAATTTCGTAGCAATTGCACTAGATTTTCAGAAAAATGTATATCTACCAAATGTGCCAACTAATGATGTCTATTACTTGCGACAGCTTAGTTTATATTCATTTAACATACATGTTCTTTCATCTGGTATGTCCCTCTTTTACACTTACCCCGAACATTTTGCTAACAAAGGATCAGATGAAGTGTGCACCTTTCTTTTTGATTTCATCGTTAATTACTTAGGTGCCGAGGTAAAGCACTTACATGTTTTTTTTGATTCTGCGGGTGGTCAGAATAAAAACTTTTCCATGTTCGAATTCATGCATTATGTAGTTCATACTGTTAAACGGCTAGAATCGATAAAAATCACATTCCCCATCAGAGGATATTCATACTTAGAGTGTGGTAATAACATGGGACTTGTTAACTTAAAAACAAGGATGAAAGTACCGAATGATTGGTATGAATTACTTTGCAACTTTAGGAAAAATCCGAATCCCTTTATTGCCATTGAAATGAAACAGTCTATGGTCAGAGATTGGACAAAGTTTTTTAAAACCAAATTTTTATCAAAATGTCCTTTTCCCATTCAGTCTATAAGGGAAATTATATGCCAAGAAGATCATTCACGTTTATTAAGTTACCGTTTCAGTTACAGTGGTACTTGAATAAAAAATAAATAGGTAACATATTTTGACTACAGATGACTGCATAATGTAATAAAAAATGCTTGAATCCATTAGGTAACAAGTGCGCGGCGCAGCGGCGGGTGTGGACATTCCTTGTTGTATACCCAAAGTCTTGGATATTAGCGGACATTATTATTTATTTTAGCAAAGGCTGAGTTTATTGTATTACAGTTATTATTTAATTTAGTTACTATATGTTTTTCCTAACGTTGTCTAAAAAATAATTATTCTTTAAAATTATTTGGAAGTTGTTACATTGAAATTAACATTAAAAAGTGGAATATCTCTTAATGTTGTTTTAGTGACATTCCTGGTTTTATTCCTGTACCCTTCATTTAAACTAATATATATTTTTATAAAGTTGTATCTAACACCTTGAAAAACGAGTATATTTCATATAAAAACAATTTATTTATTCAATCTATTTTATTATGTCAACATGTTGATATGTCATTGAGATAATTTTAGTCATACGCTTATTATGAAATAATAAAAACTGAACCACTAAAAACAGTATATATCTGCTAAATTTATTGATTTTTTTTAGACAATTTAAATTTCAAAAGTGATATCTATCTGACTATGAAATAAAACTTCTTAGTCTCCAATAACACTGAAGCATTTGACCCACTCTTAGTTACCACCTTAGTTACCTTAGTCCCCTGTACAAGTCCTTGACAGGTTGTGTTGTGTAGTTTCTTGGATCAACCGGTGCTTGTCTAAAGAGTTCGTGTCTTTTAAGATACAAAGCCTCGCAGTTGCACAGTATGTGTTTCGCTGTTTCTAGGTCCTTGTGGCAGAGTCAACACAATAGGTCTCTATTAGTATACAAGCCTATTTTGTTTAGGTGTCCCTTTAATGGGGCATGCTCAGTCATAAGTCCTGTTATTGTTTTTAGCTGGTTCCGATTCATGGAGAGTAATTCTCCAGGTCTTTTTGAACATGGTCTTCCTATAAAGATTTTCCAATGTGCTTGTTTTGGGACATTCTCCCAATAATTTTTATGTTTTCTCCGAACCCAGTCATTTATAAAACCTCAAACTGTATTTCTGATTCACCCAACAAGTAAAGTATCTTTATAATTTTTCCAAGCGACCCATTACTAATTAAAATACATAAGATATGGCTATGAATAAATTAAGTCAGACTTATCTGTCAATATCAGGGGCGGCTCGTGACCAGTAGCAGAATATAGATCCCGGTACAGATATAAGTAAAAAGCTGTCAGTGTTTTAGAAAGATACCGTCAAATGGGGTACCGACATTTGACATGTGACTTCGGACAACAGGTGTTTTCTTGTCCAAAGCGGTCACAGCGGCAACCCTGTTGCGATCGCGCATGTTTTTCTCCTAAAATGGTGTGTTACGGACGTACGCCGCGACGAGTTTCCCGTTTGTTGTGATTTTTTGTGGGAAACGGTTATTGTGGTTAAATAAACAGTAAAAAAAAGTAAGTTGTGCCTACCTTAGACGCATGTTTTTGTAAAATTTTTGTTCTTGCTACTAGAAAAGGTGAAGTTTAGAGAATATATTGACGTGTAGTGCGTTTATTTATCTTCACAGATATTACAAATACAGGGTGATAACAAAAATTTTCATTTTTAGAGGGCGACTTTGGACTACATATAAAAAGTGCTTCGGAGTAGAAGCTACCAAAACTATAATGAGGAATCATTAGAAAATGCCATTTGTGATGTCAAAGCTCGCTCCAGAAACATAAGACACTTTTATGGTGTTTCTGTTTTGTTGTATAAGAATTATGTGTTATTGTTGCAATAAATTATATTTTTCTATAATAAAATTATGTTTCTGTCATAAAAACATAAGTTGCAAAATTAAAAAATAAAATTTGGTCCGGAGGCTCCCCTGAACGAGGTAAACAATGATTTTATGTAATTTTAAACGGCTGTCCGAAGTCACTCCACCTGATGGGGTGAGTTCGGACAGTCTATAACTAAACAAATCTAAAATATGGAAACAAATATGAAAAATCTGGGACTGCCAAAATTTTCCAAGATGTTAGGGGTATCTTTAGCAAAAAACAGCGGAAATTCAGTTTTTCTTGTGTTTGGTCAGTGATCAAAAATATTGAAAAACGTGTCCGAAGTCACCCCAGTTGACGGTAAATTATAAACTTTCTAAAACACTGAAAGTTTTTTTCATACGTCTGTATTGATACCTATATTCTGTCCCTGTGAACCCCCAAAATTTTGGCCACAAGCCGCCACTGGTCAATATAAAAGGTTTATTACAGTAAAAACCATGGAAACATAATTAAATCTAAACGAAAACTTTTATTAGGCCGATCAGATAAATTAAAATTTTCAGTTTATCTATAAATAAGCATTGAAGGATGAGGTATAAATAAAATGTCTACCTCTTGAACCTGTACTACGTTCTGCAAATTAAATTACTGCACTCCTATCTTCTCTAGACTATAAATGAGATAAAAAATAACAATTTACAGCATTATTAAATACTTTGCAGGAGTCATACGTGACTCCAAATTCAGATTCAGATCTTAAATTTAACAATAAAAATGACATCAAATTAGTAGCTATATTACTTTTTTGATTGTCGCTGACCCTGTAACGAGTGGCAAAATTGATTAGTTTCGATTTAGTCGGTACTTTACCTTACCACGAAGTTGAAAAATGTTAGAATAAAATTAATGTTAAAATTTTCGGTTTTGTACTTCTTTACTTACTGTCCTACAGTTACTACAGTTCCGGGAGGGAAGTCAAAGAAGGAGACTTTTTTTAATAATTTTTTTTACGAATGAAAACTGGTTCAATGTAGCCTAAGAAATCTATTGAAAATAAAAATAAACTTAAACATCGTAGGTATATTGTCTTGTTTTTATAATTACTTCAGTTGAACGCCGCTTTGTTTATGATATGATAGTGGCCTACGTATTTCAGCTTTCATCCACTTATTATACTAACTTGGAAATTGGTACTATAAACACTCGCTACTCGTTACCATAGAATTTATCTCGTGCACTGGTGTGCTAATTAAGCTCGAACTGGATTTATGCATTATTTATAATCTTTGTTTTATTTCTTAAGATTCAGATGTATAAGTGTGTATTGAGAGTGTCTGGAGGTAAAGTGTATCATTACAAGAATATTTTAACATTAGTGCTAAACGGTTTCTTAAATAATATATTTTTTTTATTTAAATTTTTGATGAAGGAGTTTATTAAAATTTCAACAAATTTATATTTTAACAGTTATTAACTGAAAAGATGAAATGAGATAATAATTACGATGAGGAGAGTAAAACTGTTTTTAAATTTAATGAAAGAAAAGTGAAGTTAGAAAAATCGGTTGAGATACGAAAACTAAATGCAATTTTCGAAATTATGAAAACGAAAATTCTCCTGTAAAAATAGTCAAATCCCATTAAACTGATCTAGTCACAACTAAAAGGTTGCAAAATATTTATTAAACTTAAATACTACATTGTAGAACAATTAAGTTATTGAAACGTTTTTAGTTTGAGATTAATAACCGTTAACTTGGTAACAGCAAATAAAAATTAAACATTTAATCCAAAAATTCCTTGAATTTTAATTGACTTCTTTTTTGAATTTCCTTGATGGTTTGTTTCTTTATAATTTCACCTTTTTCAACCAGTCAAATATCATCGTTAACTAGATATACATAGCTGTTTTTTATTTTGAGACTTGGTCGTAAAAATTTGCATGTGTAGTCGGTTCCTTCTGGAGAAATTATTTTAGCTACAAACTTCTTGAAGTTCACAACAACATAACCACCGCATTTTACTTCTCCGGCGACACTGTTGCTGTTTTTCACAACGTCTGTTGCTTCACACACACTGTTCTCAGAGTCGTCATCAACCAGTTCATCTTGGGAAGGCTCGTCCTCGAAGGCTTGATTTTCTAGGTCAGAAAATGTTTCGGGGTCATTATCAGAATCATCATTTGCAGAATATACATCTTTGCACTTCTGCAAATAGAATGCTAATGCGTATTCATCAGTCTCAGAACTTGATAGTGCTAACGTTCTCTTTGATTTCGGACTTAATTTTGCCTTTGGTTTATTGTTTGAGATTTGTGTGGACGATACATATTTAATATCTTCTTGGCGAATACTTTTGCCAGGTTTCACTGTACAGTCCATGAACCCAGTCAATAACTCAACGTGAAATCCCCAATCTGACTGACATCTGGTCTCTCCTCTTTTGTCTAATGTGAAGATGAAGAGTGAAATGAGCTAGCTGATTAAATCTTGCCTTCAGATCAGAACTGTGCGTATAGGACCTCCATAATACAGCATCGGTGTATATGAGAAATGCATTTATGTTCAAGATCTTACAAAATATTAAAAAATATATTTATATATAACATGCAACATATTATACATAATTAACTTTATTTAAATAAGGCTAGTAAATTACTGATGCTACAACAGTATAAGTCTTAAATATTTAGACTTTACTCAGTAGGTACTTTTACCTACTTATTTTCTCTGTGTTGTATTTGGTAATTGAATAAAATCTTGTTTTTACAGAGATTTCTGGAGCAATTTTTTTAATTTTGTAATTATTCAATACATAAAAATAAAAGTCTAAGAAACTAAATATATTTTGTTGGTGTAACTGGATACATGATGCAGAAATACAGGTAAAGCGTTTGTTTCACTTGGTAGTCTGCAATCATTTAAATTTAAAAGAAACCTTTTCATAAAATGTACATATTTTGACGGTTAGAAACAGTTAATAGTAGATTATGTAGCGAATTTGACGCTAGAAAGTTTAAAGATTTTTGTTTGTTTACTTCGTGTTGAAAATGATATTTAAAATTTTATTATTAAAAAAATTGTTGATTTGTTTGGTATTAATTTGATTGTTTGAAAGACGTTGTATGCTTTTAAAAGTGTGTATGCAGGTTTATATGGGCGATTATGTCAATCGCATTAATAAATATGTTTAATAATGATTGATTGTAGTTAGGTACCGATTTGAAATGTGCTAGTGAGACATTGGAGAATATGTATGTATACAGTGCGTCCATAAAGTAACGCATAAATTCATTATTGGCTAAATGAACAATAAAATTAGGAATTCCCAAAACAGGTCGATTTTTGATTTCAATTTACTATTGTTTCAAATCATAATCTAATATACAGGGTGAACCACTTTCGTGTAATGACGTCATCACCATTTTTTTCAAATGGAACCCCCCTTTTTTTTCAATTTCCAAATTGCCTTTGCTGAGCTGATTCCAAAAATGTATAATATGTTGCTTCAAATTGGTACAGGGTGGGCAAAAATGCAAAAATTTACTTACAAAGTAATGAAAATAACGAATAAACGTAATAAACACATTAAATGAAATTACGTATTGTTATTACAACTACTTTGATAAACTATCAAGAACATACAGCATTATTCTTAATAATTGTATCTTACAGCTTTTATTAGTGATCCAAGCCCCTGGACTATAAAAATCTTTTTGTTTGGCATTATCTTTTACCAGTTTTTTTTATTTGACATACCAGTTTTTTTTATTTGACAACACTGTCAAAAACATTGAAGCACAGTTTCGTATTGTTAACGCTGTAGAGAAGGTACGTTCGTGAACTTTTTTTACAAAATGCCTTTAACCGAAAGTGACAGGATTGAAATATTAATGATGATTGGTATTGGCGATAAGATGCGGACTCAACAAGAGGTATGCCGATTATTCCATGAAATGCACCCAGATCGTGAACCTATTTCACAATCTACGGTAAGTAGAATAGAGCGAAAATACAGAGAATTAGGACATGTGAGGGATGCAGCAAGGCAAGGTAGACCAAAAATTGATGAAAATATTCAACAAGACATAATTTTGTCGGCTGTAGAAAATCCACACTGTACAGTGCGAGGATTATCTAGGGATTTTGGTATTGGAAAGTCTTCAGTATCAAACATTTTCAAAAAGGTAAAATACCATCCTTATAAAGTACGTCTCATCCATGAATTGGCTGAAGACGACTTTGACCGAAGAACTGAATTCTGCGAGTATATGATGAACCAAAATAACAATTTCATTGATAACGTTTTATTTTCGGACGAGGCAACGTTTTATTTGAACGGTCATGTTAACCGGCAAAACACCCGTTATTGGTCTGATGAAAATCCACACTGGATGCAAGAGTACCATACGCAAAGACCACAAAAAACTAACGTATGGGCTGGTATTGTGAGAAATACAATTATTGGTCCATATTTTTTCGATGAAAACTTAACAGGAGCATTATATCTGGATTTCCTACAAAATACATTAATTCCTGATCTGATCCAGCTTTTTCCTGATATTCAAATACCCACTAATGTAGACCGCAGAATCTGGTTTCAACAGGATGGCGCACCGCCACATTACGCAGTAGCTGTGCGCAATTTTTTAAACACAACTTTTCCACAAAGGTGGATAGGAAGAAGGGGACCAGTGGAATGGCCTGCTAGATCACCTGATCTGAACCCATTAGACTTCTTTTTATGGGGTTATTTAAAATCTAAAGTCTACTTCAACAGACCTGGAAATATCCCTCAACTACAAGACCGAATCAGACAAGAAATACAGAGCATAACACCCGCTATGCTACAGAATGTTAGAGACGAAAGTAATGCCCGGTTCAGTCATTGTCTAACGGTCAATGGAGAACAATTTGAACATTTATTGTAAATTTTCGTTCGTTTGTTTGTTTTTGGAAGTGTATCACATTAATTGCATAACTACATAATTCCATTTAATTTGTTTATTACATTCAGTAACGTATTACTTTCCATAAACAATTTTCATATTTTTTTTTGCATTTTTGCCCACCCTGTACCAATTTGAAGCAACATATTATACATTTTTGGAATCAGCTCAGCAAAGGCAATTTGGAAATTGAAAAAAAAAGGGGGGGGTTCCATTTGAAAAAAATGGTGATGACGTCATTACACGAAAGTGGTTCACCCTGTACATTAGATTATGATTTGAAACAATAGTAAATTGAAATCAAAAATCGACCTGTTTTGGGAATTCTTAATTTTATTGTTCATTTAGCCAATAATGAATGTATGCGTTACTTTATGGACGCACTGTAGATTAACTAATGTAGAATAGTACTTAGATATGTAGGTATAGTAATGGAAATAAAAGTGTTTTATGTTGTATAATAGATGTATAATAGTATATTTGAATGCGTACCTAAAAGGTACCAATGGGTGTTGTAAAGAAATGTGCCTTTTTAGAACTTATATAATTTTGTAAATGGTATGTGAAATAAATATGCTTTTAATTAATTGAGTAAAGAGGCGCTAGAATTGCCTAATTTGAAATTTGAGTTTGAATATGAAATATTATAAGATTGATTAGATGCGTAGGAGCGTTAAAACATTTGAATAATGTAATGTAAAAGAAAAAGCAACTTTTTGTTTGTTTGTAAAAGATATATGTATTTGAATATCCCGACTGATCGGGTGAAAGTAATGTTTTGTGTGTCCCGCTGGTGGAGTTTGAGATAGATCCCTACTGATGGGGTTTTTTGGTTCCAAAAAAAGAATGTCCCTATGGTGAGGTAAATAGTAAGTATGCCTATAAAAGGTTTGATCCCTCTGGTGGGGTAAATGCCATAAAAATTAAATTCTACTGGTGGTGTAGCGCTATAAAATGTACAAATGTATGTCCCGCTGGTGGGGTTAGTTTAATAAAGTTTGATCCCGCTGGTGGGGAAATTTCCATATATATTAGGTCCCGTTGGAGGGGATAGTTCTATAAAGTCTGATTTCGCTAGTGGGGAGATTGCCATAAATATTAGATCCCGCTTGTGGGGTTAGTTTTATAAAGTTTGATTTGTACCTATACGAGGTATATTTATATGTGCCTATTTGTTTGTTTTTGCCTAAAGAAGGCCATGTATACCAATAGTAGGTAATTTATACGAGGTAAATTTGTATGTGTCTATAGAAGACTTGTTAGTTTGTTTTTGCTCATAGAGCCATGTGTGTCTATGTGAGAGGTGTTGGTCTATTAGAGGCTTCAATAAATGTAAAACTTTGATACCTATGAAGGGTTTTTAGTTAAATGTATGACGACAAATATATATAAGATTATGTGAAAATAGATTAGGTAAGTATATATTGATAAGAAAGGTTTAAATAAATATTTGAAAATAATGCCTATAGAGGAACTGAATAGTTAAAGTTTAATACCTACAAGGTATATTTGAGTATGACATGATTTAAATGAATGTTTTTAATTTGATACCTAGAAAGGTACATGTGAGTATATATGAAAGTAAATGCTTATAAAAGAGCTTGAATTGGTGTATAAAAAGGAATGTACCTATGAAAGTATATATTTGCTTATAAGAAAATTTAGACTTGAATATAGGAATAAGTACTGATGATTAGGTATATTTAAATACCGGTTTAAGTAAAAAACTCCCATGATTGTTTCTATGTATAAGTATGAAGGTCACAATCAATAGTAAAAGTATTTAGAGCATGAAGTGTCACTATAAAATTCGCACAAATAATTAAATTTTAAATTTTTTTTAAACAAAATCTGCAGTATGAGTGACAACATTATCAGTTAGAAGGCTTAATGTTTTATATAGTATTCAACACCATCGTATTCTAAAGTAATATCTGAATGTTGTATTTTTTAACACTGCAGTATTTGCTACCTTGCTGTCTTCGCTTTGCATCGGTCTCGCGTTTCCAAATTGTACTTTTAATGACATTTTCGGTAAAACCAATGATATTTTTTTTTTTTTTTTTAATTTGGTGTCATCGGCGTCGACTACTACGGCCATTAGCCTCGTGTTCTGTGTAGGCTTTGTTACTGTTTCCCAGCGCCACTTTAGGAACAGCACTGTTAATTAGAACCCAACAGTGAATGGTCGAGTGGGGAATCCTACCAAGGCATCAGAATTAATTTTAAATAATTAAATTAAATGAAAAAATCCCGGCC